TTTATGAGATAGAATGTAATTTTTGATGCTGTACAAGAAATAAGTCAATATTTTTAAGATCTGCATAACTCAGCAAACTAATATTTTCCAAATCACTAAAGCATGATATTACAAAAGCATGCATGGGTAAAAGATTCATTAAAAAGGAAGGACAGACAAATGGATTTTAATTTAGCAAAGGAAGAAAAATTCCATGATATGGTTTCAGATTCCACAATGCAACCAGCCTTTAAGAAACTACCACTGGGCCGGACACAGTGGCTCACACCTGTAATCCCAGCACTTTGGGAGGCCCAGGCGGGCAGATCACCTGAGGTCAGGAGTTTTGAGACCAGCCTGACCAACATGGAGAAACCCCATCTCTACTAAAAATACAAAATTAGCCAGCTGTGGTGGCACATGCTAGTAATCCCAGCTACTCGGGAGGCTGAGGCAAGAGAAACACTTGAACCCAGGAGGTAGAGGTTGCAGTGAGCCAAGATCGCACCAGTGCACTCCAGCCTGGGCAACAAGAGCGAAACTCCATCTCAAAAAAAAAAAAAGACACTACCACTGTCAAGTTTTGCTATGGTATCAGAGTTTTGGTATAGAATCAAAGCATGCCCACCATTATCTACTTACGTGAGTCCAGAGTTCCTTCATATACTTCCACAAAAACAACATATCACAACTAATTGAATACAGAAGCAATTAGGAAGACCTAGCTATCTTTTATTAAGCTACACGTTACTGCAACTTATCTCACTATTCTGTGTTTTGTCAGCTTCACTGTGTCTCCAACACATCAGCAGTGTCAGCAGTATCAAAGCACTTGGTGTGATATGAGTTTGGCAGCAATAGAAGATGGCACTTTTATAACTACATCAGCATCTAAGATGATGGCATCACACAGTTGGTAGCAACATAGAAATCAATGACCTAACTGGTAGATGTCACCACAGGGAGACAGAAAGAAGAGCTTAAAGTGACTGCTTCATGAAAACCAAGAGCACTAATTTAGTAAATGTAGGAGACCACCCCTAGGAACTGCATTATTGCTAAGGGAATATGGGGGTAGGGTGGTAGATATCTGAGATCCTGCAAAGTAGGTGGGAACAGAAATAAGAGAAGTGCTGTTTGTGACTATTGTGGAAGACTTACTTTAACCCTAGGTTGGTATGGCCTGAAAAACATGGGTAAGTACTATACCTCTCAGCAAATCCATCCATTTGAAAGAAATCATGGTGTAGGAGCTCAGAACAGAAGGGTCTTTTGTCAGGGTCAATATGTAAGCATTTCTGAAAAATTAAGAACACATAGAGTTCATATCAAAGAAAAACTACCTACATTTAAATTTATAAATATGAAAAAAATTTCTCTTTATAGTCAATGATTTTTTTCTTTTTTTTTAAGACAGGGTCTCACTCTGTTGCCCAGGCTGGTGTGATCGCTACTCAACCGCAGCCATGACCTCTCTAGGCTCAGATGATCCTTCCACCTCAGTCTCCTGAGTAGCTGGAACCACAGGTATGCACCACCACACCCAGCTAATTTTTGTATTTTTTGTAGAGACAGGGTTTTGCCATGTTGCCCAAGCTGGTCTTGAACTCCTGGGCTCAAGCTATCCACCCTCCTCAGCTTCCCAAAATGCTGGGATTACCAGCGCAATCCACCACACTTGCACACCAATGTACTTTATGCATCTATAATCAAGGATAAAGAACAAAGCACAAATCTAGACAATGACCATCAATGGTTGCTAGTATCACAAAAAGACCACCAAACATTCAGTGTCTCTATATGGAAATACACAAACCTCCTATGAAGTAGTGTTGCCAAAAAATCAACCTGATTCTGTTCAAGTTCTAGCTCTACTGTGAGTTTATAAGAAATACAGGACACAGAGGAACATGTATACCACATTAGGTAGAAAATTCTAAGGACAAATGACTTAGTTTCTTCAACAAATAAATTGCAAGGTTTAAACAAAAGAGAAAGAGATGAAGAGAAGCTTACAAATAAAGTTTTTAAAACATATCGACCAATTGCAATCTATAGTCTTCATTTAGATCCTAATTCAAACTATGAAATGAAATTTTATGGAAATTAATGAAACTTTAAACATCAATTAGATATTTTATGATGGTAAGAAATTAATTGGAATTTTTAAAACTTAAGGCTATTACAGAATGGAAAGGATTTACCCTGTACTTACCACTATGCTAGATGCTTTACAAAGATTATTTTATTTTATTTTATTGCAAAGTCTTGTTCTGATTCATTAAAGCCCCTAAAATGCCAGTAAAAATAGAAGGGACTCAATAAGTAGCTTTAAATGAACAAGAAAAGTTCTCCGCATAACTGTGCTTCTTTTATAAGTAAAATAACATGTCTGCGATTTGCTTCAAAATACTCCAAAAAAAGCTGAAAAGTGTAGATAAATTAAACAAGATTATCAAAAGGTTGATAATTGTGGAAACTAGATGACAAGTACATGAAGGTTTGTTATACAACTATTCTTTCTATTTTCTTTTCTGTTTGAAATTTTCCATAGTAAAATATTTTCAAAGTTTTATATGATTCTTTAAGGTATGATCAAGGTACACAAGTTGGACAATAGTTTTACCTTTATTCCCTTGTATCTCCTTACAAGATTATAAAGCTTGTACCAATTAAAAATATTTGCATCTGTTAAAATATTATGTAACAAACTGGAAATGTATTATTCTAAGAACTTGTTATAATTAGTTATAAGCTTATTAAACTTCATGAGTTAAAGAATTAAAAAAAAATGGGTAAATGTTATAGCCTAGTGTTTTAGAGGTACATATTTTATCAATACTTTAAACAATCTTAACTAATGAGAACTTTTTGAGCTAATAATTCCCCAAAAAGGTCAACTTTTAGAGTAGATTCTTACTTGATAGAATGAAAACCTCTAACATCTTCCTTAATCAAATACAACAAAAAAGTATTGGCCATTTGTAAACTGGCTGCAGCCAATCCAGTGGCTAAGCAAATACCCCTTTGACAATACCATACAGATCATGATCCTATGCCCTACCTTTTATTTATTTATTTATTTATTTTGAGACAGAGTCTCGCTCTGTTGCCCAGGCTGGAGTGCAGTAGTGTAATCTCAGCTCACTGAAACCTCCACATCCCAGGTTCAAGCAATTGTCTGCCTCAGCCTCCCGAGTAGCTGGGGTTACAGGCACATGCCACCACACCTAGCTAATTTTTGTATTTTTAGTAGAGATGGGGTTTCACCATCTTGGCCAGGCTGGTCTTGAACTCCTGACCTTGTGATCCACATGCCTCGGCCTCCCAAAGTGCTGGGATTACAGGTGTAAGCCACCGCGCCCAGCCATCCTATGCCCTACATTTTAATATTTTCTTACTTCTCTAACCGTTATTTATTTATTTATTTAGAGAGAGAGATTCACTCTGTCGCCGAGGATGGAGTGCAGTGGCGCTATCTCAGCTCACTGTAACCTCTGTCTCCTGGGTTCAAGTGATTCTTCTGCCTCAGCATCCCGAGT